GTTACATCTTGCCATCAATTGATTGAGCAGAATGGTGAGGAAGAAGTGAAACCTAAGTCTATCAGAAATCGGTTGTTCCCTCATTGTGATGCTTCTCATGCAGTTTAATGTCAGTCCAATGTTTCTTTCATTTAAGTCTGGTTAATTTTACCTCCCACCCAAACACATTGCTACCCCACCACTAACTATCTACATTCTCCCCTTCCCATCTCTGACATGAATTCACTTTTTCAATTTGTGAATTTCTGTCTCCTTGTAGCTCAATTGCAGAATTATCTGAAACATGGATTCTAGTTTTGCATTCTCTACAGTTGCTGGTTCCTAATCTCTCCACACAGCACTGACTTCTGACTTTCTCCTAAGCATCACCTAGTTGGATCCTGTACTACACATGGTATGTCACTGAATGACCAAACAAGATCCTGGAATGACAAATTGAAATCAAAACCCATAAATGTGGTCGTTTGCCGACTGAAATTAGGAAAAATAGCCAGATAAATTGCCAGATTCTCATAAGATTCCAACTGTTTACCAATGTCCTTCAGGGAAGGAAGCTAACACTATGTATGACCATGTAGTTGACTTCATGTACCCTCTGATGTGGTTTAGCAAGCTACAGTTGAAAACTGTACACGTTATTATAATGCGTAATGAAGAAATTTGTGGGTGGACCTATCAGTACAACCAACTTAGGACAGACCAGTTGACAACGAAAGTCTTCCTAACATCTGGGATCAAGGCTCTGTTTTGTAAGAGAAGTCTTACAGGAAAACCAAACTATACCCTTATAAATTCATATTCACAAAATCATAACTATCAGTAAACATCACAAAATTCTCCAGTAACATCAATGGATATGTCTCACTGTTTGATGTCCAGTGGTGAGGCTACAGTGGTATGCAATTGAGTGGGCTTGACCCTGGGTGTCTCCACCAATGACTGTGGACTCTGTAAAATTGATTGGCTTCAAGACAAGAAAAGTAGAAAAAAAAATCCTACTGCTTACCACCTCTTTCCATCATGCAGTGTGTCATTACCAACAACTGGTCTAGAACTGGGCATCTATGAAGTGTTGTAGATCATTGTGGTTATAGACAATTTAGCAACTGTCAATCTACAACCTGAAGGTCTGGCTGAACACACATTCAGGGAGACCACCTTGGCTCTATTATGTAAAAGCAGCACCAGACATTCCCCATACTGAGGCACTAACCCAGTATAATATTGAATCAACTGCATAACAGACAAAAAGCAGCATGATATAGTAGAGACAAACCATCTAACTGTGACAGATCATAGCAAGGTTCTGTAGCCCTGCTGTATGAGACCAAAAATGTTTGTGCAGGAGCAGGCAACTAGCAGAAGGAGGAAACTCCTTGAGAACCTTAATTCTCAAGTCAAGTGGAGAATGACTAAGAATGCAACAGATGAGACTGAAGCATTTGAGACCGCTTTAAGTAAAAAAAATTGATGTAAGCTCTCATTATTATAAATTCCGGTGCCCATCAATTTACTTCACTCCAGACATTACAAAGTGATTGAGTACACAATGCAGTCAATATGAAACATAGGAGTAGGAGTAGGAGCAGGCCATTTGGCCCCCGACCCTGCTCCACCATTCATTGTGACCACGACTGGTCATCCAACTGACAGCCTGTTCTTACTTTCTCCACCTCCACACCCTCCCGCCATCAAGGGCTTTGATCCCTTTAGCCCCAAGTGCTATATCCAACTTGTTTTTGAAATCTTCAAGAACCACCTTGGTTCTGGAGCTCATCAAAGCCTTGATTTAGATGTGGATATAAGGGAGTTGAATGCCGGGTAGGAGGCAAGATTAGTTGCTCTTGGCAACAAGGCTACAATTTGATCAACTATGATAAAACATAGAAACACTGAAATTAATAGAGATTAAGAACATGGACAACATATAATGTGGACTGACAATAGGCAGACAGCTTCATACCACATAAATAAAAGCAACTGATCATTTCAACAACAAAATGCTCAAACACCTCCCTGATGTTCAATAATATCATCACCAAATTCACTGTCACCAATGTTCCAGAGGATACCATTGAACAGAGGTCAATGTCAACAATACAGCTGTAAGAACAGGCAGAAGTTGGGTATTCATGGACAAATAGCACAACTCATGAGCTCTCAAAGCGTCTCTAAAATCTACAAGGATCAAGCCAGGAATGTGATGGAATACCCATCACTCACTTGAACGGTTCCAATGTACCAACACTGAAAAAGCCTAGTACTCTTCAGAATAATCTTTTTGGGTGACCTTTGTTTTTGGTTTCAATATTCACAATGTTTTCAAATGTTTCTTCCAGTCTTTACAGAACTGGTTTCTGGCAGTATTTCCTAGCTGTTTGATCTCTCTCAGAGGAAGACAAGGACAGCAAAATTTCGAGAATGTCATCACCATCTGCAAGTTGATAAATCACATGCCACCTTGATTTTGGGATACAGCATGCTGGGTCACAATTATTAAATGAACAAAATCCTGATTATCCTAACACCTTGGAAGAACCATCAACACAAGGACTGCAACTGTTTAAGAGGAAGGGCAACGCAGAAACCAAGAACAAATTTAAAAATACAAACTTCTTTCTCATCCAGAGAAGATTTTGTTTTTTTTCATAAAAACAAAAAGCTGTCAAATCCTCTCTCTGGTGCTATTACACAGAAGCATCAATCTCAAGTTGCAATGCCACATTTCATGTTGTCAGTTTTGATATTTCCTGTTGCACAAGACCTGTGCCAACAACAGCGCACCTACTGCCAGCATCTCTGCCTCACAATGTCAGTGATGGCTGCATATGATATCAGGAATCTACGTCACTGCAGCGGAGGATTGCAGAGGGGTTAATGTGATTGATATCAACAAAACCACTACCAGAAGGCATTTAATTACAGATTATAATATTACTGCAGTCAGAATTACTTCAAAAGGCCTTAGCTCTTAGATGCTTCATTAATTGGACATTGCAGAGGGTCTGTTGCTGATGCAGTCTACCGCCTTCAAATCCCTGTGCAATAAATATGAATGAAGCAAGGCGGCTGGCCACCCATCCCCCCACACTCATGCCGCAATCTCCATTCACACCAGCAGTCCGGTCCTCATACGTGTTGTTAACCACTCTCCCCTTGCGTGCAGTCTGTGCTGTCTCACTGCAGGAGATTTAGGATGCAGCAGCTGCCCTGCTTTGTTCTATAGCCGAACACGACATCTTTTTCAGCTCACTACAGCGACTGCAGTGAATCAGCATGTGGTGATTACAGCACATCCTCTTTATCCTTTTCATCCTAGAAATATTTGTGCAGGAGATAATGATATCTCACCAACTGTAAACAGAACTTCAGGTTTTTCTGCCTGATGCAACATCACTGCAGCAAACAGAAATGCTGACCTTAGTCAGGCCCATCTTTCTTCAAAGCTGTTAAATTGAAGATGCTGCTGAAGCCGAGCCCAGCTTATACATACCAGTCTAAGCAACCAGCTAAAGCTGACCAACAAGTCCCTAAGAACATGAGCACTCCTGGTCAGACCTCACATCTGAAAAGAGGTAGTTGAATGGCTTTGTCCCTTAAGTTGCAAATACACACAATATTCCTTCAGTTCAACTGGACTGAAAAGACAATTACATGAAAACAAGTGGAAATACAAAAGTACTGAAGGCATAAAGTTGTTAATGCAGTTCTAACATTGTCTAGATGCATGAGATTCTGGTAAATTTTGTATTTTTACACTAAAATGATGCAGTTTAAATACTTTAAAGCATTTTCATACTTCACAATTAGATTGTTAGGACAACTAAAGGACTTTTGGTATTTCAACAAAACAATCCTTCCCATTTGTCCACCATATCCATTCCCTCACTGCTCAGGTTTGTCAAGGTACTCTCCTCTCTTCAGACCTAGCTCACAGAGATATTCATCCAACTCTCCACGCTTTCACCAAGACAGACCTTTCCCTAAACTTCTCACTTCATACTGACACTCTTCTCCCCCACCAACCCAATCAAGCCAGTGCTTGTCTTAAGTTGCCCTCAATCAGCAGTTTACATTTTCCCTTTCCTGTCCCAAAATATTGTTGCCCTCCTCTCACCAAATTCACACTCCCAGCTGATGACAGCAATTCATTCACCCCATCCCTTTCCCATTCATTACCATCCTCCTTCTTTGACAGGCCTTGACTCATCCCATCCTTATCCCATTGTCACAGCCTCTAAGTTGCCCCATTCTCCCCATAATGAGCACTCTGCCTTTCTGATTAGCATCTATTTCATTTTTACTGCTCCTGTCAGGGATGGTGCTCATGCACTGGAAAAAATCCTATTCTTCTGTTGTTAGTTCCCAGTTTTGCAGCCTCTACATGCTGCTGGAGGTTGAAACTCACATTTTCAGAAGAATTCTGAACTAACTATAGCATATGAAGTAGCACATGTACTCCTTACTTCTATGAGTATTGTAAAGAGGAGGACAGGAATTTCTTCAGTACATTGGCAACAGCTTGGTTGGAGCAACAAACAGTGACACTTTGAGCATGTCCCAGAATGACAATGTCAGCAGTAAACAGACAGGCTTAATAGAGAGTAGGTAGATTTGATTTCTTTAATTCCTGTAAACATTGTACTAACAGCGACAGCTGACTTTTTTGTGTATGGCTACCACCAATCATCTTGAGTTCGTTCAATTTTGGAGTCCATTCATTTAAATTAAGGTAAGTGGTCTGAAACCAACAACAGTGTTGAGTGGTCATCCCTACCCAGTGGGATTGCTCTTTGACCCAATGTGATGGCTTAGGGACTTGAAATGACTGCCCTCAGAGTACAATGTGTACAGTGCTTGTTCACTGCTACACTCAGCAAGGTCACCCTGCCTGATCGTCCACCCGTAGCCAGAATGATCTTTTGAAATCACGTTCCGTGACCTCATGTTGGGACTAACCCCCATGACTGCTCAGGAAGTCTCAAAAATCAAATTCTTACTTTCATCCGGGTTCGGCGCAGCGAGGATTGCACTGTGTTTTCGCTTAACTTCTTCCACGTTCTCAGAGATCTTGTCTATGAAGCCTCGGATTTCTTCAACCTGATAATTACAGGAGACCAAAGCATGTTGAAACATGTTCCCTTCACTACTCATTTAAAACCAGAGAATAAAAGAAAGCAGACTTATATTTAGAATGTTGTCCATTATGCAATACAATAATAACAAGGACTGTACAATAAATCAAGCAGACCTGGGCCATGACTTCACAGAATCATCAAAAAGAAAGTACCAATAGAGGATTCTAATCCATACTTGTTCATATACCTGGAGTAGCATAGTTAATTTCAATCAAGCTACTCACTCACACTTATCATTGAGAATTTTATGTATTACTCATTTTCACCCATCTGAAACAATACACTCTTGATCTTTAATTCCACCTCGCTGGTTGGCATTGCTTGAAAAATGTTCAATAAAGCATCTATTTTGCTTTCACAATTCCAATGAGATTTGAACCACTCCTAAAAATACTCTGCTCGGCATAATGATCTGAAACTTGCAGCCTCAACATTGCTCTCTCGATTCTTTCCATCACATTGAAATTTCTGCATTAAAATTAAAATTGCTTAGAAACACTGTCTGTGCATTCCAAGTAGTTATTACTGGAACATCAGTAATACTCCCATGGATTTATACTTCTTGTATCTGTTTACACACCCAAACTTTATTTCCCGGTTGCTGTGATCACTGTACTATGACTTCAACAATGACTTTTTCCAGATTCTTTGCACGTAATGTTATGTTAATTTCCCATTGTCAATCCAAAGCTATGTTAATGAACATTTCTCAACATTCAAATCAGCACAGTCTCTCCAAATATAATCCTAGTCATCTAACATTCTGTACTTTACACTCAATCCTCGTTTAGATCTTGTTCTCCTCATGACATGGGAGTAAGTCTTAGGGAAAGGAATACTAAAAAAAAGGGAGTGGATCTGTTTGGGCTCAATTTTTGTTGACATTTAGCTGAGGTTGGAAGTTTGACCAAGACACTTTTCTGAAGAAGGGTCCCGACCCGAAACATCAGCTTTCCTGCTCCTCTGATGCTGCCTGGCCTGCTGTGTTCCTCCAATTCCACACTGTGTTATCCCCACCACAACAGAAGGTTATTTGTGAAATAGTGCATTGGAATCTTGTATGCTTTGAGACAAAGCCTTAGTTTAAGACCTCATCTGATAAACAGCAGCTCTGACAATGGAAGACTACCTCACTAAATTGCCAACCTAGACCATATGCAGAAAATACAAACATAGGGTGCATTTAAGGAAAGAAGCTTATACTTAAAGAAATAAAACATTTGTGTTGCCAGTGGCCTAAGAGTGTTGAAACTTGCTATTTAGCATTGATCTTCTTTAGCCAGACAAATAAATTTTATTTCTCTGTTAGCCATTGGTCAATAATCTATTAGGCCAACATCTCTTCAATCCAATTATCATCTGAAATGTCAGTCAGAACAGTGGGGAGGAGGCTACTCCACCATCACATCCACGTCAATTCTCTGTTGATCAGTTCAATCAGTTGCCTTCCTGCTCTCTCCCCTAGCTATGCAAGTTTATTTTCTTTAAATGCTCATCCAAATTTATTGTTATCATCATTTTATTTACAGGATGGTTACAGTACAGGAAGTCTTTAGCCCGTTGTGTCTGTGCAGGCTCTCTGATGGAGCAGTTCTCCTAGTGCCATTCATTTGCCTTCTCTCCTGCACATCCTTTCTTTTCCTTTTTTGAATGCGACAATTTAACTTGCCTCCATCACACTCTCAAACAGTACATTCCAGATCCAACCACTTGCTGTGTGAAAAGTTTTTTTTGCCATTGTTCCTTTTATCAGTTATGTTAAATCTCTCGAGGTTGTTGAGGTTGGTTGGTTGGCTCGCCGAGCTGGTTAGTTGTTTCGCAGACATTTCGTTACCATGCTTGGTAACATCCTCAGTGCAGCCTCCGATAAATCATCGGTGTGTTTTCCCATCTGGTTTTTAAACTCTGGGGTCCGTTGAGATGGATTGCCTCACTTTCGGTTTTCCTTCGTAGTGGAATGTGTATGGGGTCGAGTTCAATATGTTTATTAATAGCATGCTTCGTACAGTGCCACGCTTCTACGAATTCTTGTGCCGGTTTCTGCCTAGCCTGTCCCAGGACGAAATGTCTGCAAAACAACAAACCAGCTCGGCGAGCCAACCAACCTCAACACCCACAACCCGAGCTACAAATCTACTCCAAAACCTTAGATGTTAAAGGTCTACCCTCTACTTTTCAATCCTTCCACCAATGGGAACAGTTGATCCCTATCTACTCAGTCCAGGCCACTCAATCTTAGCACAGTGCGCAAAGATCCTGGTGCTGATTAGAATTTGGGGTTTGAACTCTCAGAATCATAGAATCCCCACAGTGTGGTAGCAGGCCATTCAGCCCAACAAGTCCACACCAACTCTCCAAAGAGCATCCCACCCAGACTCACCCCCTGCCATCTCTGTAACCGTGCATTTCCCATGGCTAATCCACCTAACTTACAAATCCCTGGTCACTATGGGCAACTTAGCATGGCCAATCCAACTAACCTGCATATTTTTGGACTGTGGGAGCAAACCAGACCACCCGGAGGAAACCCACACAGATACAGGAAGAACATGCAAACTCGACGCAGACAGTCGCCCAAGGCTGGAATTGAACCCTGGTGTTGTCCCCGGTGCTGTGAGGCAACAGTGTTAAGCACTGAGCCACTGTGCCACCGTGCCACCCCCTCTTCTGTTATTTTGTTCTAGTCCAGTGCATAAAGTATCCAGAGGACCCTTCGAATTGACTTTCATAACTTAACTTCATCGATTAAAGCTCCAGCATAAGCTTTAATAAAACTTAGTGAAAATTATGCTGAATGAATTTGCATTGACTCTTTAGTTTACTAACAGTTGAAATGTCTGGCGCTACCAAGAAATCAGAAGCAAATTCAATGACAGAAATGATGAAAAACCCCACACAAAAGTGTTTTTGATGTAGGTAAGGTCCTGCTTTGATCCTTAGACTCAGATTCAGCTGTTACAGCACATTAAGAAGCCATTTAGCCCATCACGTCAACCAAAAAAATTAACACTAATCCCATTTTCCAGCTCTTGGTCCATACTCCTGGAGGCTATGGCAATGCAAGTTTGTACCTAAAAACTGCTTCAAAGTTACAATAGTTTCTGACTCAACCACTCCTTCAGACAGTGACTTCCAGACTCCTACCATCTTCTGAGTGAAAACAACTCCCTCAACTCTTCCTTAGCTTTCTATTTCTTACCTTAAATTTATACCCCGTGGTTATTGAACAGTCGGCTCATGGAAAAGGTGCATTTTTAGCCACTGCATCTATGTCCCTCAATCTTATATACCTCTATCAGGACCCCTCTCAACCTTCACTGCTGCAAAAAAACAATTCCAGGCTATTCAATCTTTCCTCATAGCTCATACCTTCCAGCCCAGGCAGCATCCTGGTAAATCTCTTCTGCACCCTCTCCAGTGCAATCACATCCTTCTTATAATGTGGCGGCCAGAACTGCTCAGGTACTCTAATTATGGCCTGACAAGCATTTTATACAGTTCCAGCATACCTGCCCTGCTCTTGTATTCTATGCCTCAGCTAAATAAAAAAGGCAAGTATCTAACAGGCCTCACCATGTAATCTATCTGGCCTGCTATCTTCTGTTTGAGGGAACACAAGTTCCAAACTTTTTGTATAGAAGTTCTTCATCACATTCCTCCTGGAGTTCTTCCTCAAAACCATAATATTTGTGTTCCCTAGTTGTTCTCCACAAACTAAAAATAAAAGGGTTTTTCTTTGCCTACCTTCATTAAACATGTCTTAATCTTGAACAAACTGCTCCCCAATCTCATTTTTTCTTTGGAAAACAACCTTTCTTTCTCCAACCTAACCTCTGGCTAAAATCCTTCAGCTCTGGAATCATTTTGGTAAATTTCATCTGCAACCCTCTCAAGGGCCCTCATGTATACACATTCAGCATTAATAAACTGCTTTTGTACTCAATACCTCTATTGATGAAGGACAACATCCCATAAGCTTTGTTAACTGTCCTCTCAATATATCATGCCATCTTCAAATACCTACGGACATACATCCCCATGGGCATCTGCCTCCGAAAACATTTGACAGCTGTATGTAGTCTATATTGCCTGTTCATATGCCTTTTGTCTAAGTGCATCTCACACTTATCTGCATTAAATACCATTTATGACATTTTTGGCCATTCTGCTACCATATCCTTGTCCTGTTTTGGTAATTTGGCATATTCTCAATGACAGCCACAATGTCAAATTTGGAATCTTTCGCAAATTTTGAAATTTTACTCTGGATTCCAACATCAAAGTCATTTATAAATAAAAGCAAAGTTCATAACATTGAACTATGGTGAACACGACTAACGACCATGCCCCAATTTGAAAAATAACCAATTTCCACAACGCACGGGTTTCTGGCCTGAAGCCAATTCATCATTCAAGTTGACGCTGACCCTTCTATTCCACAAATGTCAGTTTTAATAACTTTTATGTAATTCTTTGTCAAAGGCTCTCCTAAAATCCATATCAATAAGGTCCATGGCTTTGTCTTTACCAACATTTTCTGTTACGTGATGAAAAACTTCTATGACTTTGGTCAAGCATGATTTATCATATATTGCTGACTCTCTTCAATTTATACGAACCCCTCAAGTACCTCTCTGATTATTGTTTCTGGAAACCCATCACCAGTAATTGTTAAACTGTCAGTTTGTAGTTACTAGGAATGTTCTTAGACCCTTCCTTGAATAATACTTGCAATCTCTAATCCTCTGGGCCCTCCCTCACATTTAGGGAAAATTGTAAAATTATGGTAAGCTCTTCTATTAAGTTCACTCCCAGTACTTTTAGCCACCTGGAATGCAAATCTTCTGGAAGTGATTTATCTTATCTATTCTTAAAGATAGCCAACCTTTTCAGCAAATCCTTTTCAATTTTCACTCTAAGTTTTGGTGCCAAAACCTCTGCTTCTACCAATATTTTGTCAGT